ATTGTCACTTTCAATTTTTAACATTACTTCAAGGTATTAAAGAATCTTGGTTGCAGACCTAGCCGGTTTGGCAAAATGGATAGAGCGTTGGCCCATGGACTGAAGGGTTCCTAGTTCGATTCCAGTCAAGGGGATGTACCTCGGTTGCAGGCTCAATCCCTGGCTCTGGTCCGGGCACGTGCAACCAATCGATGTCTCTCTCTCTCTCTCACATGGATGTTTCTCTCTTTCTGTCTCTCCCCCTCCCTTCCACTCTCTCTAAAAATCAATAGGAAAAAAATATCCTCAGATGAGGATTAACAACAACAAAAAAGAATCTTGGTTGCTGTTGAAAGAATTTTAATCAAATGAACACAACAAGGATCTGAGTAATTTACAGAGGAAGCCATTAACTCCCTGCATATTTTTTAAAAAAATATTTTTTAATATATTTTATTGATTTTTCAGAGAGAGGGAAGGGAGAGGGGATAGAGAGTTAAAAAACATCGATCAGCTGCCTCCTGCACACTCCCTACTGGGGATATGCCCCCAACCAAGGTACATGCCCTTGACCGGAATTGAACCTGGGACCCTTCAGTCCGCAGGCCGACGCTCTGCTGAGCCAAACCAGTTAGGGCAACTTCCTACATATTAATACTAATGTTTCATAAGCGCTCTAAGTTTAAACAACACTTCATTGTGGAATTAAATTAACACAGTATGATCAAAAGTAAAACAGATCACAACTTTCTTGTCAATGTGTGGATTGATTAGATTCTTATTCAAAGAAATAAACTGCAGCCCTGGCTGGGTGGCTCAATTGGTTGGAGCGTTGTCCTGTACACCAAAAGGTTGCAGGTTCGATTCCTGGTCAGGGCTCATACCTGGGGGGTGCAATCGATGCTTCTCACATCTCTCTCTCTCTCTCTCTCTCTCTCATCAATGGGCATATCCTCGGGTGAGGATTAAAAAAACAATTGCAAAAATCATTTGTTGGGAATAGAGAAATTTGAATATGGACTGGGTATTAGATGATATTTAAGAAATCACTGTTAATTTTGTTGGGAGTAATGGTATTGTAGTGACACAGGTAAATTTCCTTATTCCTTTGTGGTGCATACTAAAGTATTCAGGGGTGCAGTGTCATGCTGTCTGGGATTTATTTGAAAATACTTCACAAAAAAGCAAGCAAATATGGTAAAATGTTAATAACTATTAAGCCCTGGTGATGGGAATATGAGAGCTCCTTACACTTTCCCTCTATTTTGCTGTTTGAAAATGTTCACAACAAAAACCCAAAGTGAAATAAAATGTAACCCCTGAGTGGCCCAGCCCCACTGGCTCCCTCTAGTGGCCAGTGGTGGGTGAGTTGCATGCAAACAGATAATCCTGGAAGCCTGGAGCATCCCCAATCCCAACCCCTTCAACAGCCAACAGCTGCCTTCACACACTCACTAGGAGCCTCTCCATCTGTTTTGTTCTTTTATATGTTACGGAGTTTTTAAACTAGAAGTTGAGGCGGACATCATCACTCCCTTTAACAACCTGAATCTCACAGATTTGATTCCCGATTAGGATTCGCTGCAGCAGGACAGCCTGAGGCTGGTGGGTTCCGTCTGTTTTACTGAGGTGGACGGGGAAGGCTTTCATGGATGGTCAGCTACCTCAACTTAAAAAGCAACACAACACTGAGGGCTTCGGGTCTCCCTTTCCTTTGGGGAGAATAGGCGCATGTTGGGGGGGGGGGGAGGAAACATTAGACATTCTCTTAACTGGCCTCTGGCCCCCCCCCCCCCACCACCGGGTGGGCCCTGACACTCCATTTCCTCCTGCTGACCCACATCCAGGGCACCCAGAAAGGTCCAGGCTGGTAGATCCTTTTCTAATTCTCTTCCACAACTTCTGCCCCTACCAACTGAGTTATCTGCTTACCACGGTTCTCTTCTGTTTTTTCCAAAACTTGTTTGGACCAGTTCTTACTGTTATAATTAAAGACACACAACCCAATGCAACTACGTGTAGCACTCCCATCAGACAACCCACACGTGTCTCTCTCTCACACAAAAGTGAATACAGCTGGGACTTACATCAAAAATTTGGCAGTTAAATGAACCATAGTTTATGTCTTAAAATAGGGGTCCTCAAACTACGGCCCGCGGGCCACATGCAAATACAAATATTGTATTTGTTCCCGTTTTGTTTTTTTACTTCAAAATAAGATATGTGCAGTGTGCATAGGAATTTGTTCATAGTTTTTTTTAAAACTATAGTCCGGCCCTCCAACGGTCTGAGGGACAGTGAACTGGCCCCCTGTTTAAAAGTTTGAGGACCCCTGTCTTAAAATATCTAAGACGTTTAAGATGTGTATTTTTATTGCAGTCATTCTTAACTTTTACCAAGTATGTGAACGAGAAAATCAACTCCATCTTGACAGTGTTGGATGAGAGGTTTTTCACCATCCTATGATTCTCTGTCCAGATTTGAGTGAAGATAAACTTTTTTTCCACTGAGCTTTGTGAGGGAATATGTGGATTTTTCCCTGCTGACTTATCTTCCCCTGGCATTTTATTTACATTGAGATTCACCTGCATAGGGCCCTTGGTGGTCCGGAGCTGCCTCTTGCTTCAACAGTGTTTGGGTGGAACAGACCCAGGGATGCCCCTTCTCCCAGCCTCCGGCCACCCTCCAGCGTCTTATCCAGTCACCACCCTCAGCACCACCTCCGAGACCAGCCAACACACCGGTTTTTTTCTACCTTAACGCCTTATTCGAACAACCATGAGCTCCCAAATTCGTCAGAATTTTTCCACCGAGGTGGAGGCTGCTGTCCACCGCCTGGCCCCCCTACCCCCGTGCCTCTGCGGCCGCCCACACCTACCTTACCTCTCTCTGGGCGAGATGGCGGAGAAGCAGCAGGAGGGTTCAAAGAGTCTCTTTAAGTTGCAAACCCAGCGCGGTGGCCGCACTCTCCCCCAGGGCGCGCTGAGGCCTCCCCAGATGAGGGGGCAGAACTCGGGGCGCCAGGGAGGCCACCTGGCCTTGGAGAGGAACCTGGCCCAGGCCCCGTGGACCTGCAGGCCCTGGTTCTGCCCCCGCAGACGCTCAGCTCTGAAGTCCTGCAGAACCACTTCCAGATGAAGAGATGAAGCTCACCAAGAAGATGGGCCACACCTGGCTCCCTCCGCAGGCTGCGGCCCCAGGCTGGGCGGGGCGAGTGGCTCTAGGAAAGGCTCAGCCTCCAGCACCACTAGGGGCCTGTGGAGCCCGGAGGCCTGTGAGGGGCCCCTCTGCCTCCCCTGGTGTCTGAGCCTCTCCCCGAAACTACTAGCCATTCCTTTAACTGCCCTAAAGCCCTCTCCCAGGCATTGGACCAAATGGAACAATAAAGCTTTTTTGCAGCAAAAAAAGATTAACTTACATTTTCTCTCTTTTTTTTTTTTAAGAAATCTTTCATTTATTTATTTTTGTTGTTGTTAATCCTCACCAGAGGATATTTTTCCATTCATTTTTAGGGAGAGTGGAAGGGACTGTGAGAGAGAGAGAGAGAGAGAGAGAGAGAGAGATTGGTTCCTGCACACGCCCCAACCAGGGCCGGGGACGAGCTTGCAACCGAGGTACTTGCTTCACTTGGGTTTTCTGAGTGCCTGGATAATTGGGGGCAGACACTTTCCCCCCTCCCCACACACACCCCACTTCAGCCCAGAGTGTGTGGGGACTCACTATGGGTGAGTCCCACACTGGCGACTCCGCATGCCCATCATCAAGCTCTGACCCGCAGGGAGGCTCTCCTGCAGCATTTCAGGTGCCTCGAGGTCACTGAGGGGCGTGGGCTCTGGGGGAGGCCGAAGGGCAGGCGTGGCCAGACTCAGAAGGGGCCCTGGCGTCAGAGACCCGGACTCTCCACAGCATCCAGTGGGGAGCTGAGCCTCTAGGACAGCGGTTCTCAACCTGTGGGTCGCGACCCCTTTGGGGGTCGAACGACCCTTTCACAGGGGTGGTCTAAGACCATCGGAAAATGCATATATAATTACATATTGTTTTTGTGATTAATCACTATGCTTTAATTATGTTCAATTTGTAACAATGAAAATACATCCTGCATATCAGGTATTTACATTACGATTCATAACAGTAGCAACATTACAGTCATGAAGTAGCAACGAAAATAATTTTATGGTTGGGGTCACCACAACATGAGGAACCGTATTAAAAGGTCGCGGCATTAGGAAGGTTGAGAACCACTGCTCTAGGAGGAGCTGCTGGGGACTGGCCACCGCCCAGGAGATGACACCCTGGGGTGGGGTGATGGCAGCCGACCTCTGCCCCAGCTCTTTTCTCGGGGAGCATCTTAGCCCCCCAGACCAAGGCCAAGGTAAGACAGAAGCCAGACCACAGGCAGGTGCAGACATAGTCCTCGGACCTGTCCCATCATAGCCCAGGACTCAAGGACTCAGGGACAGAGCCTGTGTACAGGGACAATCTCACCCCCACAGGGATCCATTTAAGGTGGAAGAAGCGTGGCCTTCTCTGAGCCCCGGTGTCCTCACTCAGAAGTCAGGAGAGTGGACCCGGTGACCTCTGGCCGCTTCCCGCTCTGCTCGCCCACGAGGCTAGGGCCCACCTGCCGTGGCGGACCTGCCAGTCACCAGCAGAGAATGGACACCACCCAACAGGCCCCTCGTCGTTACCCAGGGAGATGGGGTGAAGGGACAACCCTGGAGTTGGGGTGAGGACTCAGGTCTTGGCAAAAAGTCAGGGCAATTCTTCCTCTTCTGGACAGAAGCAGAAGGTGGGGCTCTGGTCTGTCTGCCGAGACCCAGGGGACCGAGGGGGCCCAGCGGCAGCTCCAAGCCCTGACCCTGGGAGGGCTGGGTGGGCAAGGGGCTTGCTCCATCTCACAGGGGTGCCTTGGGATGGGGCCGCCCATGGCCGCGTGGCAGGAGGTTCCAGGACCTGGGATGTCACAGGCCTTTCATGCCCCCCCTCCACAGGTAGCTTTGCCCCCGGGCAGGAGCAGGGGGTCAGTCCTCCTGGGGCGCCCTGAACTCGGGCATGCTCCAGGTCCGGGGCGGGGGCCGTGCATCGCGCTCCACGTCCTCCGAGATGGTGGGGATGTCGCTGGCGAAGGGAGCGATGCGTGTGCGCGTCTTGAAGGTGGACAGTGCCAGGCCACCGCGGGGCCGCAGGCTCCACTGCCGGGTCAGCCTGCGGGCCTCCTCCTCCTGCTTCGTCCGCTCCAGCACCTCCTGCAGCACCGAGAGGAAGAGCCGAGACACCTCCCGCACCTCGGGCTCCTGCTCCGCCAGCAGCTGCCGGAACCTGCAGGGAGGGGCGGTCACCTGGTGGTGGCACCTGGCCTCAGGGGCTTCCGTGTGCACCCCTAAGGTCAAGTCCCAAGTCCCCCACTTCTCCTGAAGTAACTCAGCGTCACCCCACCTCCTTGTTGCCCCAGCCCATCCCTAGTTCGAATCCCAGCTCTGCCACTTGTGGCCTCCATGAGCCTCAGCTTCCCCTTCTGTAAAGTGGGGTCACAGCCACCTTTTTGGGGTGTAATGAGCTAACATGGAAAACCCTGGCACTGGCCCCGGTGATCCACGTCGGTGTGGTGCGGGGAGCCCACTGCTTTCACCTCCCAGGATATGAGGCTTTCCGGCTCACCCCCTCCCTCCATTCTCCACTCTCCGCCCACTGGCCGGAGTGGTCTCTCTGAAGTGTGTGTCCGGTTCGGCCACTGCCCTGAGGTTTTCCTTCCGCCGCTCCCATGGCTGTTGGCCCATGCACACCGGGTCCCCCGCTCTGTCCCCGTCTGTGCTCCAGCCGGGAGTCTCACAGGTGCCCCCAACCCCAGGTTCTCTGGCTCCCTGCTGGTTCCTCTGCCTAAAAGGTCTCTGCCGGGTCTCAAGAATGAATGGTAGTTACACGTCGTTTACTACATGGGTTCTTCCACCGTATGAGTCAGGACTGCTCCAAGCTCTCAGCAGGGACGGGAGGCAGCCAATGTGATAGGACCATCACCATAGGTATGTCCCCAGGCTCCCCGTCATGTATGAGGTGTGCTTTGCCAGGTTAGATTCCCTCATCAGCACCAGCCCCCCAAGACTGACCCCCGCCCCTGTCCCCAGGGTGCTCCTGGAAATAGATACATTCAGGGGAGGGGGCCCCCATGGTACAGAAAAGTGGAGAGGGTAAGATTCTCAGCCCGGAGGAAGTGGGAGGGAGTTACAAAGACAACAAAATCCAGAGGCGTGTAGACAGACCTGGAGAAGAAGAGCTTTTAAGGGGCATTTCAAAGAAAAAGGTGTACAATAGATACACTTGTTAAAGATGGGTGAGAGAAGCCCGGCCAGTGCGGTTCAGTGGTTGAGCGTTGACCTATGAACCAGGAGGTCATGGTTCGATTCCCAGTCAGGGCACATGCCCAGGTTGCGGGCTCGATCCCCAGTGTGGGGCGTGTAGGAGGCAGCCGATCAATGATTCTCTCTCATCATTGATGTTTCTATCTCTCTTCCTTTCCCTTCCTCTCTGAAATCAATAAGAAAAATAATATTTAAAAAAAATGGGGGAGAGGAGATTCTGGGGATCTCAGGGGGTGGATTTTAAGATGTTTTATGTGGATCTGTATCTCTTTACTAGTATTTGAGAAATGCAGATAAAGAAACCGAGTTACTTTTGAAATTGGACTAATGCTTCTTTGACTTCAACAGGAATCCATCTGATGCTGGACTATGTAGGTCATGGTTTTGTTAAGGTTACCCTTATATTCAGGAATACTGTTGTACCCAAGCTCTTAATGTTCCGTGTCCTAGGGCTCTGCAACCCCTTACACACACACACACACACACACACACACACACACACACACCCCTTAGGCACGCTAGTTTGAAATAGGATAACTGTTATTTGGGAAAACCTCTCTAAGAAGGTAGCGTGGAAGATGAACTAATGGAGAAGGACCCAGCTTGTTAAAATCCAGGATAATGACCATCAGGACAGGGAGACCAGAAAGTTCAAAGGCCTGGGGTTCTCTCCTATCAAAACTCATGAGCCTGGACCCAGGAGCCACCCTGCCTCCCTCTGAGCCCCTAGCGCGGCCTGGTGTTCCAGGGCCTCTTCCAGATTCCTCCTCCTGCCTTGCTCCTTCTAACAGACGATGGGTCATCCAGGCCCCCTGGCCCCAGTCCTGGTAACCCCAGGCCCTGCCACTGCAGCCACCCTCCCTGGAGCCTGCAGCCCAACAGCTGGGCCCCATGCCAGGGCCAGGGTTACCTGAGGATGGCGGGCCCACAGTAGGACGGGGGGATCTTGGCACAGACATCCTCTAGTTGCAGCCGCTCACCAGGGCTGAGGTCGTAGGTGGCCCGGGGCGGGCTGGCCAGCCAGCTGTAGTCCACTCCGGTGCAGATCTTCCTGCCCGCACTGCTGCGCTCCCGCTGCTGCCTCTCGGCCTCGCGCATCTGCCCGGCCAGCTCCATCATGAGTGTCTCCAGCACCATCTCAGCCGGGCTCCGGGACGACAGCCGGGGCAGGGCCTCATTCCACCGGAGCCACGGGATGAGGGACATGGCCCCCTGGCCCTGCTGAGACAGGGCAGAGTGCCTGTGTCTTCCTTGGGCCCCTCTGCCGGTTAGGGTGGGAAGAGCAAGGAGGAGGGAGGAGAGCTGGGATCCCAGTAAGAAGATCTGTTCCGTCCTCACGGCTGGGTGGCCTCGAGTAAGTCGCTTAACCCCTCTGAGCAATCATTTCTAATTCTGTAAGACAAGATGGGGCTGTTGTGAGCACCGGTTGTGAATAAACGTGGCATGTTCTAAGCACCCCATAAAAGTGAGGTACATCCATGGTTATAGTAATCCCTAAAACATCCAGATGACTGAGCCCAGAGAAACTGCCTCCTGAATCCCTGCTGACGCCAAACAAAGAAGGAAACCTACTGTGGATGGCTGAGCACAATCTTATCCCTATGATTGAAGGGCAAAAATTCACACACACAATACAGATGCTTACATACTATGTCAACCCAACAGGAAAATACCCTAAATTTCTAAATGTCCCAGCCTGTGGCTGAAGGATGCTTAGAATAGTATGGGCTTGACATCATCCTGCAAAAGACACAACTTACCTTCCATTCATTTCTTCATTTACCCCTCATTCGTTCATTCATTCATTCATTCATTCATTCGGGAGCACTAGTCAAGCACCGTGTGCACATCTGTGCAGGACCACAAGTGGGAAAGCCTGTCAGGGGCCTGCTCTCCAGTGACGCAGGGCGTGATGAGTAAGAATCATCACATCAGTGGAAAGAAGTCGACGTGGCTGGTGAAGCACAGAGTGCGTACTGCGGGGGGAGGGAAGGAGTGACTCAGATGATGAAAGGGACACAGAAGGCTTTGTGAATGAGAGGGGGGAAGGGTGAGTGCGGCCTCAGACACATGGACTGAGGGAGAAGGTTCCCAGGTGGAGGGCCCCAACCTGGTCTGCAAGGAGCATCAGGTGTGAAGGCAGGGCCCTAACCCCGTGGTCGGCAAACTGCGGCTCGCGAGCCACGCGCGGCTCTTTGGCCCCTTGAGTGTGGCTCTTCCTAAGCCTTAGGAGTACCCTACTTAAGTTAATAACAATGTACCTACCTATATAGTTTAAGTTTAAAAAATTTGGCTCTCAAAAGAAATTTCAATCGTTGTACTGTTGATATTTGGCTCTGTTCACTAATGAGTTTGCTGACCACTGCCCTAACCCATCAGCATACAGTGGGGCCTTGACTTACGAGTGTCCCGACTAACAAGTTTTTTGAGATATGAGCCGTCTCTCGACCGATTTTTTGCTTTGAGTTGCGAGCTAAAATTAGGGTTACAAGCCAGCTTCAGATACCCCACTGCTAGTTGGCGCAGCGAACGTCACAGTGAACGCCACAACATCAGCCCAGCATCACGTGTCTCACTTGTTCACTTTAATGATTTGACTTACGAGTAATTTGAGTTATGAGCTCCGTCACAGAACAAATTAAACTCATAAGTCAAGGCCCCACTGTATTCCCACAGTCCTGCTCAATATGGGTTTGGTGACTGACTGACTAGGTGAATGAATGAATGGGTGAATGAATGAATGGGTGGATGAATGCATGGGTGAATGAGTGAATGGGTGAATGGGTGGATGAGCTGCCCTTTCAGGCATGCCCCGCTGCCTGTCAGGGTTTGTGCCTGACAGCAGTGAAGGTTAAGTGCCACTCCTGGACTAAAATCTGAGTGGGTCTCCGAGGTGCCCCAGCTCCCCTTTCTGTGCCTTTTCCCCTCCAGGGGGCTCCCCTTTCTCTGAACCATCTTCCTGCCCAGACTCCCCTGATGCGGAGTAAAGAGATTCCATGAGCTCAGTCTCTACAGCTTGGCCGTGAGGCCTGTGTCACCTCCTGAGGACACACAGGCTTTAGACAGCCCTCCCACCTCTCTGCACCCACAATGCTCAGCCCACAGACATGAGTTGTTCATGCTGGAGAATCAGACACACATGGGAACATGATTACGGGGTAGAAGTCGCCTTCTGGAGTGGCACAAATCACATTGTCTCCTTACCCATGGAGACTTCAACAGCCAGTTCCCTTAGCAATCATCAAAATTAGGAAATCTTAAAACTGTTCCCCTCCACGCAGCCTGAGCCTATCACCCTCGGGGGCCTCAGATTCCACCCTGAGTCCTCCCTGGGAGGCGGGAGGGAAAGACCGACCGTCAGACCCTCCTCTTGGGGTCCAGGCAGTAAGGGCCTCCTCTGCTCAGTCCTTAGCCACTCCGTGTGTTCAGAATACCGAGGCTGGGCAGGAGCATGGGGAAGGGGGGCGATGGGGTGGCCCGTGGGCCGTCCTGAGCACCAGGGGCCTCTGCCGAAGGCCAAGGGATTCGATCGCTTCAGGCAGAGGGAGGCCTTGTATGACATACAAGGTGTTTTAAAGTACATGGGTCAGCCAGAGTATGGAAGCAGGAACAGGCTGTTGAACCTCAGAGGGAAGGCAGGGAAGAGGTCAACCAATGAACTTGTATGCATGTATGCATCACCTGTGGACACAGGCCATGGGGTGGTGAGGGCCTGGCGGCGAGGGGAGAGGGAGGGTGGGAGTGGGCTGGAAGAGGTTAATGGGGGGGGGGGGGGGAGGAAGACCTATGAAACACTTTCAACAATAAAGATTTTTTAAAGTAAATAAAAAATGATGAGTATTTCAATGCCAAATAAATAAATAAATGAATACAGTACTTGGGTCAGGTTGATGCCTAGCACCAAAAGGTGTCATTTTGAGGGTTCATTCACCCCACTGAAGGGTACTCCAAATACGCATGGGTCAACAGTGCCCACAGGGACTAGGGACTGTGCTGGGCCATTCCATAGTTCCGTGCCTTCATCGGTGTCCCTCCCTCTGCCTAGACACTTATGAAATAAAATAGGCATGTCTTTCTTCCTTGTCAATATACCTTTAGAGCACCTTGGAGGGTCAGGTTTGAACTGG